ACCAACTGTTCTCTTTCTCTCTGAGCTATCCTCTAATGAAGAACCAATCTTGTATTAATCTCCCTGGGAATTCCCGGTAGCAACTTTTGATGTGCAGCAGTCTCGCCACACTCTGCTAATGATACTCAGACTGAGCAGATGACAACAAACAAAGAAGAGACCCGTGGATAAAAAGTAAAATAAAACTTCACATGCCTAAGAAATAAACCATGTTACTATCAGAGGAAAACTACTGATCTAAGGAAATGGGTCTAAAATTATTTGTCAATACCATTGATATTTACCAAGGGAAAAAACAATTATGCATGTAATTATAAATCCATACAACCACCAACTCAAGTTTCTAAAAGTCAACAGGCTGTTAGTGCCACAGTGAGCCCAACACTAAGTCATTCAGTAGATCAAGAGAAAATTCTCCAGGAAAGTAGTCATGTGTTTCTCGCCCATCAGCTCAATCCTTTCTCTGCCACAACATCTTGGTACCTGCAGGGCTCAGTCCTGGTTGTTGTGGGGACTAATTGATACCCTTATATACCAATGCAAGTCTTAATCACTCATGGGAGAATTTGCATTAAGTAAATACATACAATTACAACTGTCACACTGTCTGCAAAGGAAAATTACAGCGTTGTAAGAGTAATGGAAGGCTCTTTCCATGGATTGATGCCAGCACTGAGAAAACAGAATTGAAAGGAATCCAGCTGGTTCTAAGTGGGTCATAAAGTACATACCTACAACCTTGAACACAGGAACCAGCCAGCCAGCTTTAACTGTGAAGATGGTGAGAGGCAAGTTGAAAAAGCATCACCTGATGATGGGCTGACTGGTTATGGGAGGGAGAGAAGTTCGTGTCATGGTGGCTTCTACATCTCTAACTTCTTTACATGGGAGGGCCATATTGTCATATCCAGACGTAGGCAGCAGTAGAACCAGACCATGTGAGGGGAAATGGGATGATTTCCTTTTTTTAATTAATTGATTTCTTGGTTGATTGTGATATACATACACGTTTGTGTATGTGCATGTGTATGTACATGTGTGTTCATGTGTGTCTGTATGATTGTACAGGCTAGAGGTCTCCTATAGGCAGATTTCCATTTGGTACCAGTCTTCTCGCCTTCAATATGCTGGTTTGTTTTGCACTATAGTAAGATGCTTGATCTTCTCAGTTTGTGGTCCAGTGTCAGTGATGTGTTAATTGCTCCTGTATGTACAGTAACAGGTTAAACACTAGAGAAAGTGCTTACTTGGGTTCTTTCATTTGGAATAGCCTGCCTGAATGGCTAATCCTTTGTGTCCTCTAAAACCCAATTTAGACAGCCAAATATCCTTCCACACCACAGATACATACATATTTAACCTTATGTTCATTTCTATTTAATTTTACATTTGACAGTGACTCCAAATTCCTCAGACTCAGGAAATGGGAATTATATTTATATTTATCTCTTCAGTGAGTAGCACAGCATTTGCCATATGGCTGATGGGACATGGAAAAATGATGTGACATTTTAAGGGCTGTGCACTGAAGGATACCGTAGCCCAGTCACGTTGTACTTTCTTCCGTGTCTGACTGCCACCCTGATTTTAGGTAAGCATTGGAATCCATGATTGTCAATGCTGTTTAGGTTGCTTGTTAGTCAAAGATAAGACGAAGAGTTTGAACTATTTTCTGCAAATCAGGAAAAATGAGAATAGTGAATTGAAATTTGCTGTCAACTTTTGAACTTTGCAACACCTAGAGATTTTATAAAATCTTGCACCAGCATCATGCAACTGTCATCAGAGAAGTTTCTTGTGATGGACTGTAAGTAACAAACAGATCAATAGCTGGTCAATGTATATAGAATAACAGACGTTGGAGCACTCAGTCCTAAAGGAAATGTTTGTATCAACTCCCTCCTGTCAAGGCCAACACATCCACGTGGGAGAGGAGGCAGAAAGACTGTAAGAGCCAGAGGTAGTGGATGACTCCAAAGAAACAGCATCTTCCAGACACCACAGAACTGATACATGAACTCACAGCAATCATGACAGTATGCACAAGACCTTCACGGGTCTAAACCAGACAAAATCTTGGCAGGGAGGAGGGGAAGTTGACATACCTAAGCAAGCTTCATACCTAAGCAAGAAATTATTTTCCATTGACACATACAGGAGAAAGGACAATCAGTTTCTCAGTGGAGTGTCACTGGATGTGTCAGCCGTACTCCAGTACAGCACCCATGGTCAGAAGTAGCTGGCCAAAACCAAACAGACTCCATGGTGTGTGTGTGTGTGTGTGTGTGTGTGTGTGTGTGTGTGTTTCATTCTGTTTTTTTTTATTCTTGGTTTTCTTTCTTTTTAGTACATTTACTTTGATTTCCAACTTTTTTTTGTTTTCCTTCTTTTTAGAGAGAGAGAAACAGAAAGGAGGAGAGAGAACATGGATATGGTCTGGGAGGAGTTGAGGGAGTGTAATTAATATGATCAAATGTATTGTATCAAAATAATTAGCACCACCAACAAAAAAGCTTTCATGAGAACATTTAGCAATGACAATAATTTGTTGTACACTTACAAAATCAGAAATAGAAAGGGGAAAAACAATGTAATTGCAACCAATGTAATGATGCAATGGCCAATATGATTCTCATGAACAATGTCAGTGGCAGCAAGAAGCCAGCATTGAGGTGTTCTGATGGCACTCTTTCCTGTCTGGATCCTGGATCCTTGATCCTTGAAGTCACATTTAAAGCCTGCCTGCAGTTCTGCTGGCACTATGGAAGGTAAAAGTTTCCCTTCTCACACCTAGATATTGAACTCTGCATAACTGCCCACATATTCAACCACTGTGAAGGAGGAAAATTGGTACTCCAAAATATCAAACCATGATTTTCAAAAAGTTAAAAAGCAGAATTTTTTGTTTGTTGACACAAGATTTAACTACTTAGCCTAGACCTTAAGCCCATAGCAATCCTTTTTCTTCAGATCCACAAGTGCTAGGATTGAAGGCATTCATCTAGTTAAATATAATTCTTCTCTGAATATACAGTTAGCATATGTGATAGATTCACTTAACTTGTTGATGAAGAGACAAGCAAGATGCCAAAACTGGTTTAAAGATAGATTCAAGAAAGCTAATTAATGCAGCTCCAGCCAGTGGGAGACATACTAGAGTGAGATTGTTAAATTAGGTCCAAGGTCAGTTAATGCCACACAGGCCACACACAAAAGATTAATATGCTGAAGGTTACACTTGCTGGACACATATCTACTTTATCTCTTCTGGACAGAAACCATTTGTTCATCCCATAGGTTTTCTGCAAACCAGTATCTAACTTCACCACATCTGAATCCTCATCAATAGCCCGTAATAACCAAAGTTCTATTCACCAAAGGTCAGATGGGCACTAGTAGGCATTTTTGCCTCCTTTCCAAGTTTTGAATAAATTTTATTATCAAAGGGATGGCAGTAAAAGCAATATTGCATCAATTGGAATTCCATGATACCCAAAGCATGCCCCAAGTAATGAAGTGAAACGGGGCCCACAAGGAGGAAAGGGGGAAGAAATCAAGGCTTAAAAGACAGTTCTTAAAATACAATGCTAACTGGTGGTGGAGACTTGTGCTGTTAAGAAATTAATAGCCTTGTCTGGCATTTGGTGCCACATCTCTTGCTGGAGAAGATATGAATAGCACCCTTCTTACATGTGTCAGCTGCTGTGTAGTCTGAAAGGCATTTCATCAGCTTAGTTGTTTCCTTCACTTATTAAATTTCACTTTGTATATTTATTCATGGTCCATTCACCATGTTAGGTATTGGGGATGTCACAGAATAAATAAATACCATTTCTACATGCACCCTGTCCACCTTCTTTGATGGTTGAAATACATGAAAGAGTTCATAAGTACAAAGAACCATAGTGAATAGTGGGAACACTATCATTCCAGGAAGCAGAAATGGGAGGAGGAGCCACATTTGAGTGGGTCAGATATTGAGAATTCTCTGAAGAGTCAGTAGTTAAGCAAAGGCTTGTGTGATGAGAACCAGGGAAGGCATGTTTGAGATACTGGGATCCATAAGTACAAAGATTATGATGCTGAAAAATGCCTTGAATAATATAGAACTCATTCAAACTCCAGAATGCAAGGGCTGGAAACAAGGGACTGAATAACATAAAGAAAAAAATGGGGAAAAGACAGATGGATCAAGATCATGAAGAGCTCTGCAGACAAAACAAATCTGAATTAATGTGTGTTTTTTTAAATGAAGTCATAGGGGGAACTGAAGTATTATTTGAACTTGTATTTAAAATCATCCATTATAGCTATATATAGAACAATCCTCCCAGAGCATATATTATGGGCAAAGTTGGAAATAGGAAACCATTTGAGAATTCACTGAGTAGCTTGGGAAAGATATAATAAAACTTGAATCAATGTAATGATTGCAAAATGGTGAGCACTGGATATTTTTGAACCATGCTTTGGAGGTGAGACCACTATGGGCTTTGTTGCTCTATTTAAATAACACAATAAAAATGAATAAATAATGAGGTCAGATATGATGGCACACATACTTGAGAGGCAGACACACAGGTTTCTGTGACTTTTTTATATGTACATATAATGACAACAGTTCAAGAAGAGGAGATTACGAACTTAAAGGTAGGAAGTCAGACATGGAAGAGACAGGAGGGAAGAGAGATGAGGAGGAAAGAAATTATAGTATAATTATATCTTAAATTATAAAACAGAAAAGAAAATAAAACAAGGAAAAAACCATTAGTTATAATGATAACTAACACCACAGATGAGGAAAGCATAAATATTTGTTCCCTATTTCCCACTCAATATTGCTCAAGTCCCAAGAAAATAACACAGAAATAATACTTTCTTTCCTTTGGATTGCATAAAGACTGTGTAGAGACCTCTTTCTTGCTTACCAAGAACTGTCCTCAAAGAGAGCGGAAATGGGGAGGTACAGTAAAGGAGAGTGGAGGGGAGCCATTCCTTACCTCCTCTTCTTCAAGTAGAATCAGTCGAACCACGACAATGTGGACTGCATTGCCAATGCTTGGGTTATGAAACAACCCCGTGACCTGGCATCAGAAACAGAACTCTGTTTAGTATTGTCTGCATATATATATTTCTAGGACTGATCATTGGTGTTGGATAGCCAAGGTGGGGGTCTGATTTCTGGGGAAGATTAATGTTTCCTCTTTCAGCAACTGTTGCTTGTCTATGGCTCTTCATGGCTGGTACTTTAACCCTCCCCAGCCAAAGTGGCTAGTGAGGCCATGGGTCTTAGACGACATCCTGTTATTGCCACTTTTCTAAGCCAGTATGATTTCTACTTTACAATAACTGCTTATCTTTATACCCACAGAGAAGTACAGCTCTCAACCCCCACCGAAGAAGCTTCTTCTTGCAGCAGACTATTACAGAAAGCCACTAGTCAAAATGCAGAGAACAACTGGCGGTGGGTTGTCCATCCCTACTTGGAAAATCTACATACAACACAGTTCCTGTACGCAAGACTCAGGGAGCATCTTGGCAAAGAGGGTGGTAAGATTATAAACCAGAGGACAAGGAACTCGGCTCTGAGATCGTGTCTTCTAACTAGGACAGGGAAACTACACCCACAATCCTAGCTGCATAGCTCCCTAAACAAAGCCGTTTTTTTTCTTTGACCTTGTCTAGCCCAGGATATTTTCTTTAGCAGTTAATCAAGGAATTTCTTTTTCCCAGCTCATCAAGACAAGCCACCTGTTTGGAAAGTAAAGCATAGCAACAATGAAAAAAGGAATCATGAAACTTGGGGCTGCAGTAGAAACTTATTCCGGTTCTAGCTCTCACTACCTTGAAGAAATCATGTTCAGTTTCTTTGCCCAAGTTTTTTCATACACTAAGACTAGCAGAAATGGATGATGCAAAACCATCCTAAAATTATCAAGTCACTTGGTAAATAATAATAATAGTAGTGACTACATATGCAAATGATGAATTATAAATTTTCCCAGGGAAATTTTCCCATGTACATTTTCAAGGAACAGAATAATTGTCCTGAATTTCAATTACTAGAAACTTGGGTGAATAATCAACTTGGGTGAATGAGTGTGTGCATGCCATATGTGTGTGCATGAGCGTGTGGTGTATTATAAGAAACAACAACAAAATCTCTTTCTTCTTATTCTTTGTCTTTATAATTTTGAGACAGTATATCACTACCCAGCCTAAGGTACCCTCAGATTTGCATTCCCCAACCTTGGCCAGCCAGATTTAGGAACAGCAGATTTCTATCACCATGCCTGACAAAAATGTTCTTTGATGAGGGGAAGAGCATTTCTAAGGACATCTCTTTTGCCAGGTACTGTCCCCCATTCCGTCTGTCATACCATATTCATAATGGTGAGGATGTAGGACTCGACGTTCTCACTTCCATGGTACTCAACCATCTTCGTGTCAGCTACCACAAGTGTCTCCACCCATCTGTCCTTGCTTATGGAGCGCCGGGAGAGGCTCCTTCTTGGCCAGTTTTTCCTCTCCCACTTCTCTCGCTGTAGCTCTTGCTTCTCAGAGTTGCCTAGACTGTCTGAACATTAAACAGAAGACATAGTTACATAAATTTAATGTATATTGTATATAAAAACATTATTCACTTATATTTGTAAAAACACAAGGGTGTGTGTTTAATTTCTGCTTAATAACACGTGAGTGAAATGTGTATGAAACAGAAGACAAATTTAAAGGAATTTGAACAAAATCACTCAAATTGGAAACTTACAAAAATAATCAAGAAGCATTTATTTTCAAATGTCATGGTTCATTTCAGTAAGTTTTTTTCTATAACAGCATATACAGTGGGTTGTGGTGGGCACATCTATAATCCCAGTTACTCCAGAAGAACAGCAAATTTAAGGGTATCATGGGCTATCAAAGGGAGTACTTATTTCAACAGAAAGTGTTAAAGGTCAGGAGTATAGCTCAGTGGTCAAACACTGTTAGCATGTGTGGTGCTCTGAGGTGTGTGTGTGTGTGTGTGTGTGTGTGTGTGTGTGTGTGTGTGTGTGAATATTCTCTCTGTCTCTCTGTCTCTGTCTCTGTCTCTGTCTCTGTCTCTCTCTCTCTCCCTCTCTCTCTCTTTCCTCAGAACTCTCTTTTTCTTTTTCTCTAAATTATTCAGTGTCGACCATAGGCAAGACAGTAAGCATAGTAGGACTTAAATGTTGAGTTTTAGCCTCATAAATATTTGATATTCATATTCCCTTTTCCATTTTACAAGCCAGAAAGCTGATGCACAGACTAGCTGACAAATATATTCCACAAATTACTAAACCCATTCAGCCAGGAGATGACCAGGGTTTTTCTATCTTACATTAATGCCTTTCACATTTACTACAATATTCCTGTGAACATAAAAACACATAAGACTGGAGAAGATGTAAACTAGAAAAATGCAGAAGGCTCAGGACATCCTGATACAAAACACTGAAAAAGACCCAGAGGATGATAGTATGGCAGAATTCCTGCTGACCTGATGCCAGAGTGTCAGCAACTAGCCATAATCCCTGATGGGCTACTCCTGGCTTGTATATAATTATTTTGATTCCATTTCCTTGTCCCCTTCACTCCTACTGATCCATTCCTGCTTCCTAACCAGCCACTCATTCTCTTTTCTTTCTTTTTTCTTTATCAGCACCCTCTTCTTTATCCCCAACTCTCTAGGGAGTAAGTATTGACACATGGTCCTCTGGGGGTCATGTCACATCCAAACTCTGGCAGCCCATTCCTTTTTCTCCCATTTCCTTCGTGGATCTGCTCAATAACAATTTTTGGTGCCAGTAGGAACCTCCACAAGGAGGCGAGGAAACCCTAAGAAAAGTACGAGGCCTTGTGAAGAAACAGGTAATAGATGTCTTTTTCCAGTCCTTAAACAAGGCATCATCTCCATTTCCATATAGCTCGCTCGCCAAGAGCAGGCATCTGTAACCTGAAGAAAGCCCTCATTGGGCTGTTGTGTCTGGAGAGCTGCATTTCCTCCAGGGAGGTGGCATGCAGCAAGCACAACATTGATAGCTATAAAACCGAACCAAGTCTCAGTATCAAGGGACCTGTGGACTCAGATCCCAACATGGTTGTCTTTCATTCTGACAACTCCACATTTCACACGAGAGGTAACTGTCCAGAATTAAGCTCTTTTGTGAACACTTTCATCAGCAGAAACTCACTGGTGAGGACTAAGAGACCATAGGAAGCTTCTCATGGTGTTATGGGTGAAGTGCAAAAGTCTTCATTACTCAACGATTCCTCAGTCACTGAGCTGAAGGTGAACTGTCAACAGAGTTATGTCAATGTTTAAGCCTGTGGGATTCATTACTCACTCTGTTGACTATTTAGCTTTTTGTCTTTCTTCTGCCCCCAGCTGCCTCCTCTGCATCTGGTCTTCATTGTGAGAAATGCGTCAGCACATTTCTATAAGAGGGTACGAAAGGGGAAAACACTTATGGGGCTAGATATCAAATCAGTTGAATTGCTTTTCATGACCAGAATTGGCAATGAATGAGATGGGCAATTTATAAAACAACAATGTATCTAATTGTCCCACATTCTCAACTCATTCTGATTATTATTGACTATCTGAAAGGATCTTAAAATGTCTCTTTTATTTGTGTTCTATTTAAAGATGGTATTTATGAAGTTTTACAATATCCATCATCACCTTCCTCTGTAATGTATTCTCATTGAAGTAAGGACAGTGTTGAAACCTCTGGCCTTTGTGGGGGTGCATTTCATTGTATCTTTTTCTGGTGCTTTTACATTCTGTCCCCACCTAAGCCCAGGAGGTAGAGGCTGGTATTTTTTAGGACATCTGCTAAATGCCAGTGTTTAGGCTTTTGCTGCATTACTTGTTCATCTTTTCATAGCTGTATTTACTTCAAATGTGACCAGTTTGGAGGGACAGATAGCAAATTACCTAAGGCTAAAAATACTTTTGAGCCACAGTAAGGCAAACTGTCTCTGGACTGGAGATGATCATCCTAGCTGAGGCACCTGGAAATATGTCCAAAATCAGCTTGAAGAGATCAATACCCCTGGCTGTGTAGTAGATGCACACACTAGCACCCTGGAAATCTGTTGAAAAGGGCTACAGTCTACTTCCTGCCAAGAAGATTATTTGCAAGTGTGTGCTACAGTATAATGGGCAGAAGAAACTTTGTTAGTTCAACTCAGAGAACACTAGAACTGGTGGCAGCTTCACAGATGGTGTCATGTAGTGATTTAGCACTATGCTCCTCTGTAGAGTCTCCCTGGATGCTATCTACCATCTCACGATCATGGCAGCTTTGGAGATCTTTTGATGATCCTTCCTCTTAAAGAGAGGGGCTAAAAATAAACATTTCATGCCCTTATTACACAGAGTAAGTAATGAAAAAAGGTCCAAGGTCAAGGGTTTTCTGGGTGTTAGAATTCAGCAATGTTCCAGGCTAAGACTATAGGGATGGGAAGTCATCAACAGCGAGTCATATACTCCCACTTGAGAATATAGAACCCTGTTCTACCCAGAATTGGCTCCCAAATCTGGGGCCAGGTACCTTCTCTGAGTAGTATTTGTCTTGGCTCTACAAGAAGACCAGGATGGTGTCCCTGTAGATTTACCATTAAAGGGACAATTGTTCCTTATTGAGCTGCTCCTTACAAAGGACATTCAAGCATGTCTGGGATGGTGAGAATCAAAAGGGCTGAGACTCAGTTGCTTCTTGTTCCTGTTCTTTCCTCAGGTAATTGTGAATCGATTATTTTAATTCTTCACATTGCAATATGAGGGTAGGTGATGGGCTATTAACTCCAATCTCATCTCCAGGCCATCAACAAAATGGATCTCACCGAGGATCATCTAGGTGTCTGCTCTGCTGCTTATTTTCCATGTTGTGAGTACCATTTCTTATCCAGAAGCCTCAGAGGCCATGTTGCCTTCATATTCAAGTTAGAGCATTTGACCTTATCTCTCCCCCTCTCTCTTCCCTTCCTCCTTTCCCCCTTCCTCACCACCTCATCACTACTCTACCATCTGTATTATAAGAGGTTTATTTTAATTTTTTACATTACTCATTTACTTGTGTATTTTGCACATGTCCATGTATGGCATGGCATTCACATGGAGATCAGAGGATAAATTACAGTAGTTGGTTCTCTCCTTCCATGTGGACTTTGGCTCTGTATTTCTCACTTGAGTAGGCTGAGAACCAAGAAGAACAACCTCAGGGCTGAAGATGTGGTGGAGAAAGTATCATGATAGAATCACCAAGCATTATATAATCCCAGGCCTGGTAGAACATTTATGTAATACATTGATAATTTGAAACAAGATAAGTTTAACAAATACTTTTGCTTACAGCATGTCCTGGCTGGACTTCCATCTATGTGGCAGATTTTTTCCCACTATCTATTTCCCAATATCTAGCTCTCTACATCTTCTTCTAGTTATTCCAGTGGGAGGAGGCTGCAACTCCTTTCCAAAATCTCTGTCTGAGCTGTGACTGACTGCAGCTCCTTGTAGTACATGTGACCTGACAAGTCCCCCACACCTAAATATCCAGAGTAGGTCACACAGCCCAGTAATCCCTTCCTCTGGGCACTGACAATTGATCCTCACAGTCTAGCATAAACCTAGGAGCAGTTCTACTAAGTCATTCAATTCTTAATATTTAGAGTTAGTGGGAGACTCTCCTCAGACCTTAAATGCCCAAAATATAACTCAAAACCAAAGAAAATAGAAAAGCCCACCTAGGCCAGGGCAAAGGCACTGTAATATTGTCATACTCTATGAAGCAAATATCATACACAGCTAGACCTTTCAGATAACCTCAATCAGAGTTGGACCAACTCATCTAGGCCCTTTGCAAACTCGAAATTTTGTGAGGACTCAGCTGGAAGACACAAAATACATGTGACTGACAGCACAACTCACCACAGTCTAGCTTAAGCCACCTGAAATGAATAAGGACAAATCTCCTCAGCCACAAATCCTAAAAACACCCTGTCAACTTGCCTTTTCTAGGTTTCCTATAAATGTCACCATAAAGAAAACCACTGACAGCAAGCTTCAGGGACTCTTGAGCTTGCATTGGCTCTAGTGGATTTTCTGAGTAATCATAGAAGGCTAAAAACACTGAAGTCAGCCTGGCAGCTTAGACTCTACAAAATTGGCCCGCATTACAGTCTTGGTTCCTCTAAGCCCTTTTCTTGAGACTTGGTACCTCTATGCCCTCAGCTAGAGCTTGAGATTGAGCATGAGTCTTGCCCCCCCCATACCCTCTGTGTGAGGAGAGCACCAGGAGAGGCTGGACCATCCAGAGTTGCCAACATCAAAGTCTTGGGCCACCTATACTCACTGGGTCACAAGAGCAGAGGAAGAGACCCCACCTGTATCCACTGGAAGAAGGGATGGGAAGACGAAAGTATAAGAACACAGCCAACAACAGAAAGAACAATATGACACCACAAGACTCTAGGGACTCCACACCAACAAGACCTGAACATTCCAACACAGATGAAGCAGAAGAGAACAACCCTAAAAACAATTTTATGAAG